TGACAACCCTGACCTTGTCCCAGCGGTGAGACGTCGGGTCTTGAATCCGAACTGTTTGCCCGATACTTAACCTGGGAAGGGGTCGGGCGTGCTGATCGTACTGTGCCCTTACCTGGCCAGCACGGGCGGCTGCACGACGATCGCAGTCCTCGGTCTTGGCCTGCCACTCCCTCGAGAAGGACTCAGGATGGGCAGGGACACATGACCATAGTGGGTGGCCGTATAACATCTGTGCTGGGGAGCGACCTGTGAGGTTGGGGGTATTCCGCAATTCCAATAAACCCCGGTCAAACTTCTCACAGTCAATGTTGCCTGGGGGTGCCGTCTTGAGGATAAGATGCTTGACGGACTTTACGGCAGCCTCGGCATGTCCATTGGACTGGGGATAATGAGGCGAGGACACCACATGATAAACTCCCCATCGCTCCATGCAGTCCCGGAAGTCGTTGCTGGTGAACTGGGGCCCGCCGTCAGTCCTCAGGCGGAGAGGGACACCAACTTCCCGGAAGTAGCGACAGAACATACGTACTGTATGAGAGGCAGTAGTGTTGCCTCCGCAGGGAACGACAACAGGCCAACCTGAGAGCCGGTCGGCGATGACGAGAAAGGACTTTCCCGCCACAACGAAGAAATCCGCAGAGACGGACTCAAAGGGCCTCGTAGGGTTGTCGTTGTTCATGAGGGGTTCCTGCTGTTGACTAGGCTGCAGCACCTGGCATGGCTCGCAGGCTTGAACGGAACTAGCGATGTCGGAGTCGATGCCTGGCCAAAAAACAGCTTGTCTCGCCTGGCGCTTCGTAGCTTCCACACCCCTGTGGCTGTCGTGCAGGTGGGCTAGGGTGCGGCGGCGGAGGGCGGCAGGAACCACAACTCTTGCTCCATACAAGACGAGGTCGCCATCAGCATAGAGGTCGTCCCGCATCTTCCAGTATGGGAGTAAAGAGCTGTGTAAGTCGTACCGGTTGGAGGGAAATCCCGAGGTCACGCAGTTCAGTAGACGGATGTACGAAGGGTCCGCTCTTGCCGCGGCTCGGAGTTCCTGAAGAGTCCTGTCGGCGTCCTGCGGTGGAGACTCTTCTGAGATGACGGCGTTCACGGTCACTACAGTCCTGAGGTGTGCAGTAGCATCAGCACATGCGATCTCGTCCTCTGGTGTGGGGTGGCTGACTGGGGCTCGTGACAAAGCATCAGGGATGCAGAGCAGCTTGCCAGCACGCCACACAGCTGTGAAGAGGTAGGGCGAGATCTTCTCCTGAATGGCGTTGGAGGCGGGGATTCTCGACCGCGTCCAAGGAGTAGTGGTTCAGGATCAGGATGAGTGGCCGATGATCCGTCATGAGGTTGAAGTGTTGTAGGCCGATCAGATGCAACCTACATTTGGACATGGCCCAGACGGTGGCTAACAGCTCCAGTTCGATGGTGGCGTAGCGAGTCTCGGCGTCAGTGAGAAACCGAGAGCCACACTGAACCAGACGAAGGCGTCCATTGCCGTGGTCCTGTAGCAGAGCGTATCCAATCCCGTAGAGGCGAGAGGCATCAGTCTGGAGGACAACTGGCAGGGCCGGGTCGAAGGAAGCGAGAACAGGTGGGCTAAGGAGAGCTGTCTTGACGCGGCGGAATGCCTCATCATGGTCAGCTGTCCAGGTGAATGTTCTCTTGGGGCTCATCAGGGGGCGTAGGGGCTGTGCTGCAGCGGCGATGTCGGGGGCAAATTCAGCCAACTGGTTTACCAGGCCCATGAACGAGCGGAGGTCGGTCAGGTTGGCAGGAGTTGGGAAGTCCCGGATCGCGCTGACCTTTCCAGGATCAGCCGAGATGCCCTTGCCTGAGAGGGTGCACCCACAGAAGTTCACACTAGGTGCGGCGACCACAAACTTATCCTTGTTGAGGGTGATCCCGTACTTGCGGCACTTGGTGAGCATCTGGTGAATACGCTCAAGATGCGTGGAGTAATCCTCGTCATATAGGAGCACGTCGTCGATGACCTTGACACAGTTCGCCACACCCTGAAGGGCCATGTCGCCACGGAGACAGAAAGCATCGCCAGCAGCCGCGAAACCCATAGGTCCTCTGCAGTGCTGAAATCGGCCGTACGGTGTGATGAACGTCGTGAGGTGCTGATCTTCTTCCACAAGTTCCATCTGCCAGTACCCACATAAGGCATCTGCTGTAGTAAAGTACCTTGCCTTCGGGTCCACACTGCGTATAGCGGTGAAGGGTGTCGGTGAAGGGTGGATCAGGCGGGAAACTTGGCTATTCAGCTTGGTGAGGTCGACAGTGATACGAACTCCAGTAATGTTCTTGGCGACTGCTACCATGGGGTGACACCAATCCGAGGGGTCGTCACCAGCAGGCTTAATGATCCCCTGGGCTACCATAGAGTCGAGTTGCTTCTTAACTTGGCTCTGGAAAGCGAAGGGTATCTGTCGCGGTGTGTGGATGGCGAAAGGTTACTGCGTCATCCTTCAGGTGAATTCTCATGGGGGAGCCAGCCATTGGCTCGAGTGGAGCCGTCTTGAGGTCCTCCTTGGAAACCAGCACGTCCTTGAATTGCAGTAGGAAGAACTCCCTGGCTGCAGAAGGTGACGTATTGGGTGGGAGGGGCAGCTCCTTGCACCTGTTGACATGTTTTATTTCTAGAATTGGCTTAGGGAAGTCTGGAGATATTATGGCCAACTCTTGACAGTGGCCATAAGACAGTAGTGGCATCTGAACACCTTTGTGGACCTGAATCCTGGCAGAACATGACTGCTTACCTAGGGTGACGGTAGCCTGAAATGTACCCAGAGCAGGTGCCATTGTAGAACCGTTTGCGGTGAGCGTTGTAGAAGTTGACGGTGGTTGCAAGCTGCTCCTAGGGATCCCCAGAATGTCGAGGTGTCTTGTGCCGATGACTGTGACGTCCGCACCTGTGTCAGGAAGCATCTGGATACGGGAAGTAATGTCGCCGTATGACAGGTGAACACAGATGGGCTGAGGTGTCTTGCTGACAGGGGAAGAAGAGGATCCCACGCGACGACAGCGCTTGTTCTTCGCCGCCTGAGACTTGCTAGTAGTATTATTCTTCTTCTTTGACTGACAGCATTTGTCATAGTGTCCAATGCGGCTACAGGAGCGGCACTGAACGTTGTTGGCAGGGCACTTCAGTGTCCTAGCCCAATGACCACGACGGCCACAGTTATTGCAGGTGCTGTCAGCGGCAGGGCATTCAGAACCATGCCGACGAGCACAATACTGGCAGGAATGACCTGGCGTCGAAGTCTGAAGTGATGCTGAAGAGTGATGAGAAGCTGAAGTCGGATGTGAAGCTGAAGTCGGATGTGAAGCTGAAGTCGGATGTGAGGCTGAAGTCCAGTCACGTCCTTTCTTCTTCTTATATGCGGAGATGGCACACAGCTGGTTAGATGGAGTACGAATGGCAGAAGTCGCACTTCTGGTGGCTTCGTAAGAGCGGCAGGTGGTGACAACATCCTGTAGAGAAGAGGCAGTGTCGAGGGAGATAAGCTTCTGAATAAGCTCTTCGTCCCGCACGCCCATGAGGATAATCATCTTCAGCTGTGTTTCCTCACAAGTCGGCGAGTTCCCAGGACAAACGTCAACCTCCTCAGCGATGCGTCGGAGTCGTACGTAAAAATCGGCAAATGACTCACCCTCCAGCTGCTTACAACTGAGAAGTTCTCTCCTACGCAGAGCTTCGTTGCGGAGACCCTTGATATGCGTCTGTAAAGCATCCAAGACGTCCTTCACAGTCTTGTCTGTGTCGTGGGGAATTTGCAGGGTGTGCTCCAGGATACGTTGCGTCTCTAGGGTGAGACACATCCTCATCTGGATCAGCTGTTTCTCCCTAGGCAACCTTGATAAATCGACCATCATCGAATAATCGTCCCACCTCCGACGCCATTCACGGAATACCTGGAACGAGGCATCAGCTTGGAGTGGCGGTGGACTCTGAGCGAGTGCTTTCTGTGGTGGGGGCAAAGAAGTTGAAGAGGACCCTGCAGGTGCACCTGTGGACGAAGAGGCAGGTGTAGTAGCTGCTTGAAGGGTAACAGGTGCCAACAACTCGATAATGGCACTGAATCTGGCATTTTCTTGTTGACGTCTGTGATCCTCTTCACGTCTTCGTTCATCGTCTTCCTGTCGCCTCCTGATGTCGTCTTGTCGTCGGTTTTCTTCCAAAAACTGAATTAAATGAAGGAAGTCGACACCTGTGGCAGATTGCGGACGTGTGTAATGGGGGCTAAGGGTGGGTGGGGCCGCTTGATCCACTTTCCGCTCCACTTGGAGTCCACTTACTGCACCGACATCCGTCTGAAGTTGGGCTTGTTGGGTATCTGAAGAAAACCCAATAAATTCCTGATCTTCCATATGGCCTGGTTTATTTCTCTCACAATTACTGTAATTAATAAGTGAGCAGAAAAGCAATCGTCTTTAAATGGAAGATATCTGCGAGCGTCTGTGAGTGTGTGTGTGTGTGTGCAGGGTTGCTAATTTTTCCCAGTTTTAGAAAATTGTGGGTGGGGGTGTTTTTTCCCATTATTTCGTTACTCCTAAATTCATTGGTGCCAGAATTAATGAAATCCAACATGTTCTAGAGGTCGCGAATCCAAATATAAAAAATGAATTTTTGCGAAAAAACGTCACAACTCAAGCTTTTTCTCTTATAGATCAGCAATCGCGCTGCTTTTCACTACTTAACCCTAATGGCTGGCTAGAGCAGCTATTCAGCTTTCCATTGACACCTAATTCGATTGCATGCACCTCTTAGTTGACCTTCTAGTTCAGGTCAAAGGCTTTACCTGCGTTAAGGGAACCAGATTCCAAAATATTCATAGTTTTGACTTTTCCATTTATTCGAAAACACATATCAATATTTTGCCGTCACAGTCTTTTCCATGATATATTTCCCTCTTAAAAAAACAAACATCATTGAAATAGGTCAATAACTCTAAGATGAGATGCAATTTGAAAGTTCAATCCCCCCTCTATTCAACTCTCACAGTTGCATCAGAGCAGACTTGCTGAAGCCACTCATCTGCTTCCTGTGCTTTTCCACAAGTTGCATGACATCCTGCAGCTGCTGCTCATCCTTCGTGACTGAACCATTGAAGTACTGCATAAGCTTTATTCCCCTTTCGGCCACGTCATTGGTTACCTTCAGGCTTCTGGAGAAATCTTTCCGCTTCATGAACTCTTCGTTTTTCTCCCAGTCTTCCACCGGTAACATCAGCCATGCTGTGCCGCACACATGATGCTCCTTGAAGATCATCCATGAACGTTCATCTATCAGGTCGGAAAGCCGTGTAGTCTGTTGGATGACCAAGTTGTCGTTGGCGTAGTCGTTCGTTTCTTCTAGGCAGCTCAATTTGGTCGCCATCTCCTTTTTCTCTGCCGCACTCAACTTCTCGCTGCACAGCGACAGAACGACGGTCTGTGGCCTTAGATACCACAGGTGGCGGCTCGCGACCGCCAGCGCCGCATCAGCCACCTCACAGTCCACGGCCTTGTAGCGGAGGAGTTCGTGATGCAATTGCAGGTCATTCACAGGCGCATCCTCGGCTACTGGTGATTTCAGCCACGCCGGTGTGTACAGCAGAGACACAAAGATCGCCATCCTCTGCAGCTTGACGCACAGGTCACTGCTGAGCTCTAGCTGGTGGCTAAACATGTAGATCTTGAGGTAGTATATGATCTTCGCCATCCAGCGAGCGTGGTGACATGCGCCAGGACGCAGAAAGTGCGTGCCGCGCGGAGGATTCACACCGAGGACGAGGAGCGTTAGTTCTGCTGCTTCTCGGTAATCCTCTCTGGCCCATTCTGTGACGGTCAGCAGGTAGCTAACGGTCCTGTGTCGGAGGTGACTGAGCCAGTCAGACTCTGGTAGATTTGCAATGTCCAGCCTGAGATACTGAGAGTGATCTAGTTGACTCCACCTTTTCTTAAGAGTCTGGAAGAGAGGGTCCGTATGGGCCGATGTTTTGCCGAAGATGTTGCTGGCAGCGACTCTCACCACCAGTTCCATGACGTGGTGTCTGCACCCAAGCCTCAACAGCTGTTTTTCCAGCAGCGCCTCCAGATGGACAACCGCACCTTGGACTCGCCCTGTGTTGGACGACGTTGTATCAAAGCACAGTGCCTTGACGTTTGAAGCGCAGCTCCAGTCCTCGATAGCACGAGCTGTTGCGCGTGCCTGGGTCAGGCCAGTGCCGTCCTTCACTGGCAAGACAGCAAGCAGCTTCCCTTCCTCATGGCCGCGCCCTGAGATGAAGATGGCCTGTCGGTGTTCTTCTTCTCCCACGACGTTCTGAAATGAGAGAAATATAAAAATTCAGACAGAAAAAGAAGAATTATCAAGGCTGCCTTTTTCTCCAAGCTTTTTGTTAATGATTTGATACATTTCTAACAATATATTACAATAGTCTAGGCTTTGGTAAAATATTAATGTAGTACCTAAACGTGTTCTCACCTTAATCAGCTTACCATCCCAGTGCACCACTGCATGTGGTGGAGGCGTGAAGGCTTCCCTTTGTGCGGCAGCTACCTGACGACGGTGTGAAGCTCGCGCCCGTCTCGCAGTCTCTCTCGAGATCCGGAACTCAGACAGATCGCCTGGCGGGTTAGCAGAGCGCAGCACTGCTGCGACCACCGAAACTATCTGCGAGCAAAAGCAGGCAAGGGTGTCAGTAGAAAATGTCGACTGTTTAAGTGCTTATCAAATAATTAACAGAAATTTCAAACATTCCAAACACATTTATGGATACACTTACTTACTTCGTTATTGGATATCCGAAGACGGTCAGCGAGTTCCTTTAATGCTGGCTCTTGGAGAATGCGACGTGGAAGCTGAACCGTCACATAAGGGTGCTTTGATGTGTACCTGCCAGGTTGTATCGCTGTGTCCTTTTTCTCCATTTCTACTTCCGTTGGGGTGTCAGCCACCACAGAGGTTTGAGGTCTCGAATCACTGCTGCTTGGTTCACAGGCTGCGAACCTTCCCTGTTTCGACCTTTGCTTCTCGACTCGTTCCTCCTGCTTTCTCTTCTTAGTGGCAAAAATCTTATCGTTACCACTCATGAACGCTTTTCTTTCTCCGCGTTGTTCTTGATAGAAGGCGATGTCTTGTTGTTTGTCGGCCGGTGTAAGCAGCCGGTTCTTCTCGATGTCCTCTACGGCGTCCGGTGCTCCGATGTCCCACAACAGGTCAAGTTGAGACTTGAAGTTTTCAACCTTGTCCTTTGCAGCCCTGTCCCGACTTTTTTGTAGACTTCTCCAGTGCTCCCATAACCTTGTCAGCTTCTCCCGGCACCCCCTCTCTGAGATAGTCTTGATGCGAGCTAAATTCCAGAACGTGAGTACGTTTCTCACTGTTTCTTTAAACGTCTCCTGTCTGTCACCAGATTCATTCACTGTGTGAAAGAAGAACTTCAGGACTTGACGCATCGTCGGGAGTTTACTGCCTCTAATTGACGATGCTGGCTGGTCTACTAGATAGATTTCAGTGGCAGAACGGGTAGTGGATGATGTTGGCCTGACAGTCCCCTTAGCATTCTCCCCCGACTGCGACTCACTCTCTTCCATGATTGTATGTATATAAACAGATGAACTCTGTAAGAAAAAAACGTTTTGTAATAAAACAAAATAGGCAAACAAAATAGGGTCACATAAGAGTAATTTAATCACCTGTAGAAAATACAACATAAATAGATAACCATAAATTTACTGCCACACTATATAGCAGATTTGAGTAAATTATAAAATAACACCACAGTACCAACAACAACACAACACATGTCAAAACACTGCAAAGAAGCGCAGGGTTTTAAAGCTGCCAATGTGAACCTAGTGAATTTATAACTCCGTTAACGCAGGTAGGCTACAGCCTTTGACCTGACTTAGAAGGTCAAATAAGAGGTGCATGCAATCGAATTATGTGTCAATGGAAAGCTGAATAGCTGCTCTAGCCAGCCATTAGGGTTAAGTAGTGAAAAGCAGCGCGATTGCTGATCTATAAGAGAAAAAGCTTGAGTTTTGACGTTTTTTCGCAAAAATTCATTTTTTATATTTGGATTCGCGACCCCTAGAACATGTTGGATTTCATTAATTCTAGCACCAATGAATTCAGGAGTAACAAAATAATGGGAAAAAACACCCCCACCCACAATTTTAAAAAAGTGTGAAAAAATGAGCAACCCTAGTGCGTTCGTTCGTGCTTGTACTCGGGGCAGGCGGCTAGCGCGGGATGGCTGGCTCACTTGCCAGTGCCAATCGAGACCTGAACGAGGGTGGATGTCAAAACTTGAGCTCTCCCATAGGTCTTAAATAGGCTTCCCTCTTTTGTAAAAAGTGCAGGAACACGGGGAAACACTTTAAAGACACTAAAGGGCACACACAACACTGAAAAAGCACTTCACAACACTGCACTGTAAATCCAGGAATATCTTGTGAGGTACGCTCTGAGAACCACTCTACAGGAGGAGTTGACAAGATGGCGGCTCCGAGAGAGATTCTGTGTCCACTCCAATTCTGAATAATGTGATGTCCCAGCTAAACACTGCGCCATGTGGGAGAGACTCAGGTGATCCTTATAATCAGGGGTGAAGGAAACACACTGATGTCAAGTTCGTAAGTTCTATTTCTGGGGCAAACACACAAAAGGAGTTAAGACAGGGGAAACAGCGTCCTGTCTTGGAATCTCTCTGGGTATCTCTATCTGCGCATGCGCGTACAGCGCGCATGTGCTCAAAGTCTGAACTAACATTCAAGTGACAAAAGGGGGTATGATTATAACATATAATACAGAGACCTGAATCAATAATGGTAAATAGTACAGGGTTACATATTACAGCAATATTCGTCTCATATATCTACACCTTCCTCTTCTCTTCCTCTTCTCTTCCTCCTCCTCCTCCTCCTACTCCTTCTCTTATTAATAATTATCAGGTGGTAGATGTTTCCCAAGTCAATAATATTCTTCTCTTTATTTATAACTGAATTAGTCATCATTATGGTTGCTGAATTACGTAGACAAGTGTGTGTTGAGGGAGGCAGTGATAGAGGTTAAGTGAGAGGAAGGGAGAATGGAAAAGAACGCGAGAGAAAGAGAGATAGAAAAATACATGAATTTTAAATAGCTAAAGAAAGAGAGAGAGTGTGTGTGTGCATGTGTGTGTGTGTGTGTGTGTGTGTGTGCGTGCGCGTGTGCGTGCGCGTGCGCGTATGAGTGTCTGTGTGTGTGTGTGTGAACTAATAAAAAGCGCCCCAGATTAATAAACTTGGTAAGACGTCGGTGTTAAAGTCAGTATCAGATATAAGACGTCACGATAAATGCCTCTGGCTTTTATAGTAAGTTCAGAATTAAATTATTGGACTTGAACGGCAAAAAAAAATGAACAGCGTCGTCGAGTTAAGTGCGTTCGTGTGTCGATGAGAATTAAAAGAATTGATCATATCAGCAAAAACGTCTGAGATTTTAGCAAAAATTATTCATTTGAGTAAAAAGAACGTTTTAAATCCCTCATGTGTAATCAGGTATAAGTAGCAGGTACGAACAAGCCATAAGAAAAAAAATGACTGATGCGACAGCAAAACAAGAGAAGATCTGCCTGGGAATTTGTGGGTTCAGAATCCTTTCCGAGGCGACCTCTTGCGGTTGGATCTCATTGTTAGTCTGAACAAGCCTCGAGGGATTAAATATCATAGCCTATGTTTTCTTTGAATTTTCGCCCCTGCAGTCTCCTCAACATATAATTTAAACTACATTATCCCTAATTTACATTTATATTCAGTGTTACTCCAACAGCAACAGGTTGTGAGAAAGAATTCAACTAGATTTAGAATTCGAAGAAGAGGAATCATAGAAGACATAAAAATCCGGGCTAGAGAAACAAATGACGAATCACTTCTGGGAAAATAAAGGATTAGATCCCCCGTCCTGATGACCACACGCGGCGTGATCCCTCTGCCGATATTGTTGAGGCGCCTTTCTCCCGCCTCATCGTAACTGACACACCGATTTCCTCCAGATTTGGTCCTGGTTCATTGTCAGACGACTTTTTTTTGTGAATATCTGTGTTTGTAATTTATCATGTGGTTAAGACTTTTTTTTTCGTTTGGTGTGGTGGATATTATTTCCTCATGATATATTGAACTTTCTTAATTTATATTTGTTATAGTGTTTATAGAATTAAGAAACAAAAATAATGATAACAAAAACAGTTATCTGACCATTTTGTGTGTTATTTCGTTCAGTATTACCAACCTAGTGTCTGTATGATCTATTAACGTCAATAAGAACAGAGTTTGTCTAATACAACGATTCACCTGAAGGTTAGGTACCACTGCTTATTTCACCTGGTGATTAAACACCCTGACACTACCTGGGGGGGGGTAGTTTAGTTCAAGTTTGATTAGGTTAGGGTTAGGTTATGTTATGTCAGGTTAGGTCAGGTTAATGTTCGGTTGGGTTAGGTTATGTTATGTCAGGTTAGGTTAGATTAAAGTTAGGCTAGGTTATAAGTCAGGTTAGGTTAGGTTAAAGTTAGGGTGTTCTAATCATCAGATGAAAAATAAACTAGGGGGCTAAACTTCAGGTGAACCCTAACTACCACCAACACATGTATTATACCTGTCCATTGTACCAAAAGCTAAACTTACATTAATAATAATCCTCAATATAATATCAGATTTTATTTTACCTGACTCTTTGTACTCGTTCTCTTAAGACTAAAATTGCAAGTCTTGACGCGGAGAGTTTCCAGTGAACAAGTCCTTTCAGGCGCCCTCATTCACACACACCTTTAACACCTGTCATAATCACACACCTTTAACATGTCATAATCCTTTATCATTCTTTTTTACCTTTATAAACCTATACATTTCCGTTTTGAGTATAATGATGGGCGGTGAGGGAGGCGGCGGTGGTGGTAGGGGAGGGGAGAGAGAGGGGGGTGATAATGGATGGGAGATAGGATAAGGGTGGTAATGGAAGGGAGAGGGGGTAATGGAAGGGAGAGGAGGAGAGGTACTAAGAAAAGGTGAAGCATGAGGAGTCGTCGTGAGGCTATGTGTCTCCTGGGGTCGTAGTAACTTTGTGTCTCCTGGGGTCGTAGTAAGGCTATGTGTCTCCTGGGGTCGTAGTAAGGCTATGTGTCTCCTGGGGAAATAGTAAGGCTATATGTCTCCTGGGGTCGTAGTAAGGCTATGTGTCGCCTGGGGACGTTATAAGGTGATGCAACAGGTCATTAGCATAAGGTAAACAACACGTGCGACAGGTGTATGTGTGTGAGGGGGAATGAGCAGTGTCCACATACTTGATGGTGCGACAATATAGGTGTGACGGTGTTTAGCGGAAGCTTGTAAAGAAAACAGTTTTTTATGCCCAATTTCCTCAACATTGTGTACCAACATGACGGGGGAGTTTAGGAGCTCACTTACTGTAGCCGCGCCTTGTTTGACTTAGTAACAAAGGAAACACCGCCTTCACTCAGCCTGGCTAGGTAAGACGTGGTCCAGATCTGAGGGACG